GTGTATAAGAGACAGATATATAAGACATCATCTTCATCGTCCTCATCATTATCATCATCCTTATCATAATTACAAGATTCCACCTTTAAGATAAATTTATTGTCCGAAAAAGATCAGAAAATTGTTTCCACTGACAATTTGTTCTCATAGTCAAGCAATATCAAACAATATGGTTTCATTATTCTAGTCCGCATGTGATACATTTGGTACTGGTGAGGGAGCAAACATCAGCCATGCTTCCTCTCTGCTCAACACAAACGATGGCTCATGGTCTCCTGCTCGCTACCGTGTCGTAGCCACTGAAACCAAAACACATGTCGACTTGTGTGCTGAACTTTCGAAGGTCCATAGTCGACAAGTACTTCCATGTAAACTTATCTCTTCGAAGAACCTACAAACAAAGGACTCCAGGTCGGTAAAGTCGTATGTAAATGCTCTTTTAGTTAACTGAAAAGGTAGATGCAATGGTCTGATTGAAAATTTAAAAATAAAGCAGTCGATTATTATAACAGATTAATTGACGGATGATGGATGGAGAGATGGAGGAATGGATTGAAGGGTGGATAGACGGATGTATGTACGTTCGTATAAATGCATTGAAAGATGGATGGATGAACTGATAGAAGACTCGATAGACGATAAGATAGACAGATGAATAGATGAAGGATGGATGGATTGGTTGGTGAATACTGGATAGAATTATTAATGGATGGATAGATGGATGAATAAATGATATATGGATGGAGGATAACTAAATAAAAGTGATGACTGGAGGTTGCGTGCACATATCAGTATGTGTGCACAAACACATGATGAACAAATGAATAAATAAACAATTCAATTTTATATAACTAAAAAGTGCTGCATAGGTAAATAAATACGTAAATGAAATACAAAGATAAATCTTAATTTGAAACAATTTATTGCAGATAAGTATCAACAAGATATTTAGGTCATAAGCCCTCATCAAGTTAGTTATATATATATATATATATATATATATATAAGTATATATATATATATATATATATATTTAATTTCTAAAAATTGTTCACAGATATAATAGCTAATACATAACATGTGTGACAAATTCAGTCATAGAATGATATATTCCTGGTGATTTCAAATTCCAGCCGTTCCACAATACTGATCGTGATGGATACACAAGGCGCATCGGAGCTGTTGTACGAGCCAGGGGACCACACTGCGATTTTCCCCGCCAATGAAGATCAATTAGTGAATCGCATTCTAGCCAAAGTGGATGACACCATATCTCACAATGAGATTGTCATTGCTGAATTCCTAGAGGAAAGGCAGACAGCTTTAGGTATCATTTTCTTTGATTGTTTAATTTCCACCTTTTGTCCACATTACAACTGCAATTATTTGCCATTTTCCCCAGGGGAACATTTACGTGATTTTCATTCTGAAAGTCACCTATACATATATTTTTTCATTAATTTCTCTCATTTTATCAATCCATTAGCGTTATTTCCCGGAGAAGAAATCAAATGTAATTCTAAATTTGAGGGAAAAAACGTTGCCATCATATCGGTTAATGGATCGCCGAAATGATGTTGTATCGTTTTCATCCGTGGGGGCGGGTGTCGGGTTAATTCGTTGAGTGTTAGGCTGAAAGCTCTGTGAACATTTGCTAGACATGAAACTGAAGCAGCTGCGATTAAGATACATTTTTATGTACATGTAGATGTATAAATGTGTCGCAACGGTGATGGAAGACAATTTGATGAAAATAAAACCTATCACAAAAATCATCATAAACATCGTATTGAATGACATCAACAATAATCAATAATATGATAATAAATAAGCTATACATTTTCAGCTATGACAAAGAAACAAATAGGCCTATATGAAATAGTTTACAAACTGCACAAATTCTGAAAAGAAACAATAATTCTAAATTAATGGTACTTATATTGAAACGCCTTCTCCTAAATACGATCAAAATGTAGAACAGGTTCGGTTGAATCCGTGTCATTTGTGCTCAACTAGGCCTACATAATATTTTTATGTATGCTTACGTTAGTAACACAGTTATAATAATGAGAATAATAATAATAATAACGACTTCTATTGTTTATTCTAGGTAAAATAAAGAATTGGAGTCCTTTAAACAAGATTCCCCCATGTTCTTTGGTACGAGCCCTAAAATATTTCTTTGACATTACTACACCGCCCTCTCCAGCTTTCCTTCGATTACTTAGCACCATAGCGACGGATGAAAAGGAGAAAGAGTTATTAAGTATACTCGGAAAGGTAATGTAACATGAATACCATGGCAAAGAACTAAGCTCATTCATATAAAATTGTTTAAGATTATAACAATAATCGTTCCCTGACTCTTCCCTTTGGAATTGTCTTCTCCGGTTTATAATTATTAAACCTACAGAACAATCTTTTACACATAATTTAAAACCTATTTTTTTAACAACCTTTGAAAGGTAACTGCGCCTTTACTCATTTTTTAAATTGGCACAATATATATACTGTCTCTTATACACATCTCATGTGATACATTTGCTCCTTGAGTATAACAAACATTCAATATTAATATTGATGATATTAATGATTGAAATTAAAGATTGATGATTGTCAATAATTGCCGATAAATACCGATAATTGTCGATGGTTGCCGATACTTGCCGATGATTGTTAATAATTACAGATAATTTCCGATAATTGTGAGATTTATAACAATGTATTGATAATAATTAATGAAAATTTATGAAAGTATGACAATTGAGAAAAGTTGATGGCAGCTGATGACAATTAATGAAAATGTTTGACACTTTTATGAAAACTTCATAATTGCTGCTAATTGCTGACATATAGAAGTATACAGTAATAGTTTTAGTATCATTTTTTAAATATATTTTGTGAAGTCTGTCTGCCAGATTCTAATTCATTTCCAATTATATTGTTTTACATAAACAGGGCGCCCAGGAGTATGATGATTGGAAATTTGGCAATATGCCAAACTTAGCCGAGATACTGGAGCAGTTTTCGTCCGTCAAACTTCCCGCTAGCTTTTTCTTAACCCAACTACCGGTACTGAAGCCTAGATACTATTCAATTAGCTCTAGTCTTGGATTGCACCAAGGACAAATCCACGCAACGGTCGCAGTTGTATCCTATGTTATCAAGGGTACGTACGCGCACTTACCCCTCCCCAACACACACAGTACAGCATACACAACCGAGACTATGATGTGACGCATTCCATCAAAACTTTTGTGGTATTATGAAATGGTGATACACTACATAAGGATTCAAAATACTTCTTTTTTTCCTGTACAGTACTAGCCTTTGTCTTCCGACCACTAATATAATAATATATTGACATCATGATACGTGTATTGCTCATTGTTAACCGTACAATAAGTGCAACGATTGGATTGGATTGGATTTATTCGGTGTGGACACGAAAGTCTAGAAGTCCAGTGGGGTCCTTCTGGTGGTGATTGGGCAGTACACCGGGAGACAAACCCCTACTCTTTACCAAAGAATGTACTGCGTTCTTTAACGTGCACATGGGCCATAAAAGCACACGGGACCAACGGCTTAAACGTCTCATCCGAAAGACGGTGCGCTATTGTATTTCAGCCCTCCAGCTGAAACACTTGGAGAGGCAGCGATGGGATTTGAACCGGGGACCTAGTGGGTGTCACAATGCAACCTGGTTAAACGTCCACATCGGGGAAGTTTAATTAATTTTAAAATATAGACCTAACATGGAAGTAGGCCTATATAATCTTATTCATACCTGAAATCATGAATATATTTTAGTACGGTAGTAAACAAAACTCAGAATTATGAATAATACATAATTTATAACTGTATTCGTCTCATAAGAGTTGTATAGGTCTATGTATGTATAATACGTAGGACTATATGTACATTATTAGGCATTATGTATATTGGGGTTGTAACAACCAGGAATGGTGAGTTCTGAATTTTTATAATCCCAATATACACTATGTGTTACCGGTATATTGGGATTGTAATAATCCTGAACTCCTTGATTGGATGTGGTATTTTAGAAATAATGAAAGTGAGCGCATTAAGTCACTACTTTTCAAGTGTAATTCAAGCGTCGTCTGCCCCCATCTCCTGCCAATTCTTTCTTGTGGTGAGTTTAATTGTTTTTAATGATTACTAGATAATTATGATTGTCTTTAAATTGTTCCTTCTTTAGGTAATCATCATAATGGAGTATGTTCCACTTGGTTAAATAGTCTAAAAGAAGGCGACGTGATACCAAATTTCATACGCTCGTAAGTGAAATATGCTACTTCGGCTAAGAGTTAAGCCATATAAATTGAAATTGTTCTTAGTATTGCGTCGTTTTTTAGTATGTCTGTCGCAACATATCTGCGTTTTACGAGAACCATCAATGGAAATGTAGAGAAACGGATTACATTTTGAACATAATGAACTGAACATTTGGAACAAGTAGATCTATACTATGATTATGCAATAAATAGTATAATGCAACTGATTTAATGAAACTGTCAAATTAACACATCCTCTATCGTAATACGATAAAAAAAATAAAAAAAAACAGCACTAGACTGTTACTATGCAACATTGCCTAGTGCGGCCCATATTGTGTATTCATGTAAGGTTTTCGAAGGTGCTACAATGACTTTGATGTTAGAATAAATTGCTAGTTCACAATACGCATCCGACGCACATTGAACAGTATGATGTACGAAATAAAAATTAAAACTATACAATGAAAAACAGTGCATGAATAAAAACAAGATAAAAATAAAATTTGTGAAATCGTACCGTAACCTTATGCCGCCACATTGCCAGCTCATAATTCTCATCTAATTGAGCTATGTTTGATTTCACCCTTAGTGCACCAGCGTTCCACATGCCAGAGGATAAATCGGTGCCTTTTATTATGGTGGGGCCTGGAACCGGCATCGCTCCATTCAGAAGCTTTTGGCAGCAGCGTTACTTCGAGATGGAGTTTAAAGGAAAGGAGTCGTCCGGAAAATTTGGTGATATGTATCTTGTGTTTGGCTGCCGACACTCAACCACGGATAACATTTATAAATTGGAGAAAAGCGAAGCTCATAAAAAAGGAGTAATTAAGGAGGTTCTGACAGCCCTGTCACGGGAACCAGGCCAGGAGAAGGTACGAATGTGTGCCATGTGAACATAAGTAAAAGTATAATTAAGCTTGGTTTACATAAAGTTGCTACAATCCGTCTGAAGCCCTGTTTCCATAGAATCGCTACCCAGTCGTTACAGCGTTTTCACTGCAATCCTTGCACTGCGTAGCACTGCTGTCCCCGACGCAATCGGGAACGTGCCCTGATTCGACTGAACAATCAATCTCACTAAAGTTGGTGATAGTGTATAGCGATTTTTATGGAAAACTAGGCTTAATATGTAGGAGACACTCAATAGCGATTTTATGAAAACGTTTGAGGCAGGTGGAGCCTGGGTTAACCTTTCCGGTTTGTCTGAGATGAATTAGAACACCTCGATTTTGTAAGAAGGTAACAGTAGCGATTGCACTAGTTCAAACACTGTACTTACAATGTGGCGATTTATGGAAACCACATGTGATTTAGGTTTAAGTGACAATTATTCGTGTGGGACAAAGACGAAGCTTATTTATTTTAAATAAATAAAATAACATAAACTGGTTATAACCTGTTGTACTTATCCACCACTTAATGGACCTTTCCGCTAAGCCTCGCCCCTTGGGTATTGTTGCTAAAATCGTACAAAAATATAGTACGAGAACACGTGCGTTTGTGGGACATGCGTCTCTTGTAAGACCAGCGCATAATCGCTGCGATGTTGTGATTGGTCAGTTGTCAAGTTTGATTGACAATCCGGAAATGTCCGTTGTTTTTTTTAGTGCGCGATCGATCTGCATTGCATCCATGTCAATGAAAGGCGATGCTTATTTTTCTCCATAAGCATTCCATGGTCTTGCAAACAATGACATAGCTTTCAATTTTTCTCCACATACAGAAATATGTACAAGACGTGTTACTTGATCGAGCTGCCGATGTGTTTGATTTAGTTAATAAGCACAAGGGTCACATTTATGTGTGTGGTGACGTTTCAATGGCGGAAGATGTATGCAAACGATTGGAAATCATAGTACAAAAGCAAGGCAAATTGTCACCTGAACAAGCTAAGGAATATGTCAGTAGGATGAAGGTATGACTTTATTCACCATTATCATCATTATCATCATCATCATCATCATCATCATCATCATCATCATCATCTTCATCATAATTATTGTTATTATTTATATATTTAATAGTGATGATGATATTGCTGCTGTTATTGTCGCTGTTCCTACTGTTGCTGTTATTATTATTTTTATTATTATTAATATTATTATTTATAGATACTGTATATTTATTGATAATGATGATGATATTGAGGCTGCTGTATTATCGCTGTTACTGTTGTTGATGTTGTTATTGTTTTTCTTTTTCTTCGTTTTATTATTACATTGTTATATAATATTTATATTTGTAGTATTTTGAATAATAAATCTTAATTTACAGGATCAAGTTCGATACCACGAGGACATATTCGGAGTTACACTGAAGACAAGTGAAGTGACAGAAGCTACGAGGAAAGCTACAAGAAGAGCGTTGCTTTCAGCAAGCAAATTAATCAGTGTTGCTAAAAACTCATTACTGGGCAGTAAGAATGTAAGTAAAACTAAAAAACAAAAGTGGATGAATAGTAAAAATGTCATAGCTTTTACGCATCCTCTGACGTACGCGGTGTCCTTCTCTTTTCCGAGGACGCCGCGTACGGCTGGGAATAAACAAACTTCGAATAGTGGAAAGTGCTGTGCAGAGGCCGGCCGGCTGGCCCGCCACGCGCTGGATATACCGGGAGGTGGAATCATGATATTTATGTTTTCAACAATTGTTTTAAACAATACTTTTTGGAAAGGCACTACAAAACGACAGCGTAAACGTATGTGGAATTGTATTTGTGGGACAAACGCGCATTCCCTGTAGTGTTCTGATTGGTCAGTTCTTAAGTTTTAGCCGAGCTGGACTGATTATATTTAAATTAGTACAATTGAGAAAAGAGAACTTTGATCACTGCTTCTTGGCTTATATTAAATTCATTTGTACAACTAAATAAATCTCTATTAAATAAATATTTAATTTTTTTCCAAATAATAAGGAGCTTAAATGCATACATATATAAATATATAGGTCTGTATAGCCTAATAACTGTCTCTTATACACATCTAGATGTGTATAAGAGACAGATATTGTATAGCCTATTAATTTTCACCGTATATTACAAGTAGGCTTATATCATGTTTTAAGTGTGGGTCTAGTGTTCGAGGTGTGTTACATTTTAGAGCCTATCATTATTCCCCACCTTACACGCCTTTTTTTTTTCATTGCATACCAAACGTATACGCCTTTAGTAAGTTTGATTAATATGTATTTAACTATTTAATAATAGACACTAAGCAAGATTCCAGAAAAATCCTGAAGGACGCCACCAAGAGTAGAGAAGTTCCAATTTGCGGAAGATGAACGGTAACGGTCAGGTCAGCGATATTATGGCGACTACAGGAAATGTGTAACGTGAAGACTGATGCATACTGATGATTTGATTTAGCTAAACATTTGCCAAAACTCATTTTTTCATAGTATAGTAAGTTAGGGCCTATATTTATGTAATAACAAGGTTTTAGGAGGACAAAATAATGAATATTGTGTCCAAGAGATAAGTGAAAACATACAAGAAATGGGTTTTCATTCAAGATTTCAACATTACGTACAGAAACTTATTAAATTGTATAACTAGTTATAAGATTAGTATCTAAGTAAAATATGTAAACATATTTTCTAATCGTTATTAAATTACAAACGCTTATCAATCAAGTAATAATCTAGTCACTATGTCGAATATTGTTAAGAGAATTACCTCTACAAATGAAGCTGGTTATTGTATTTAAGCCTTTCAGATACTATTGTTTTCGGTAATTTAACTTGCCTTGCTTTTGCTATAATCCTACTAAAATTATCGTCGGTTTTTTTTAAGTACACTGATTTACATAATTATCTTACCCAGCATAATAGCAAGAGTAGGTCTAATTAATAAACAGATTCATTACATATTATTATATGATACCTAGGCCTAATTATATTAAGCAAGTTTCCTTTGGATTGTATTACGGGATCAAAACCAGATACTGTATATGTAAAAGTACTTTGAAAGGTATGACAGATGTGAAAGCTAAGAGCAAATTAAAAAACGGATTAGAATGTGTTTGTATAAGAGTGTTCATACATCTTTAAAAAAATGTTATTTAATTTAGTAAAGTACATGTAACATAAGAAGTATTCTAACATTCGTGTTCACGTTTGCCAATGTTATTAACAGTCTATTATGTGAGCTTACGACTGAGGAATACACGTTTGAACTGTCGTTTATCATCATCACAAGGCCTCTATCATTGATATCAAATCGATGACTCTTAATTTTTTTAAATACTATTTAAAAACCAAATTAGGCAGTATTGTGGTTTATTTGAGATTTTTTTTTTTTAATTATCCAAATCATGTTACATTCTGTCTAATAGGTACCGGAATACATACAGTAACCGTAGTACTTTAAACGCTTCCAAAAATGCGATTGGCTATCATGATACTAACGTAACAGTACGACAGTCGTACTCGTGGTCCTAGCTGGAAACGCGTGCTCTAAATATGAATGCAGACCTCTTAATAGTCGCAAATTGAGTACTGAAAGGTGCCTGTTTTTTCATTTCCTTCTCCCCTACCCATACACACACATACCCACCCCCACACACCCGCGTGCTTTACCAACACTTACAATATACATAAAACCACTGAGAAATCATAATTCCGCATACAATATAAGGTTCCCATAATAGCTCGTTTTGAACGAGTTTTCCTAATTGCCTTAAATAAATATATGCCAAAACATATTTAAGTAATAGAATGATTTGTATATATATATGAGGGTAGTGTATAAGAATATATATATAAAGTTGTAAGATTATAGAATATAAAAACAATGAAGACATAAATAAGGGAGCGATTTTGATTAGAAAGTCATATATGTTAATTGGAAGAGAATCTGTTTTCCGATAACAAGATTTATGTTTTGTGTTGTTATAGTTCAGTTTAGTTTTTCAAGAGGTAATTAAAATTATAGGTGTTTTTAATTATGATAATGAACTTTTTTTTTTCGTGTGGCAGTAAATTAAGATTTTGATGAAAACCTAAGTACATTGATAAACTTTGTATTGCTGTGACTGCTTGTTGTAATTACATTTCAAGGTTTTAATCAGTTTCTTTTTCACTATTCAATCTTGATGAATTTTGTAAAGTACAGTGCAAATTGTAATTAAAGTAGCGTCAGTTACCAGTTTAAAACATTATTACCGCAATAGCTGGAAGCTATATTTACAAATATTACAGTAGTATTAATTTATTTTTTTTAAATTAAATATACAATAACTTAAATACTGTGTAGTCTTAAAGATGTATTGTCCCTTGCTAAATACCAAAAAATCATAAAAATATTTTTTGAAATTAACTTGCCCATTTTGAAGTAACATAAAAGTTATCAACTTGAACATAGACATTAGTGTATTTAAAAAATGTCTACCCATCAGTTTACAGCAAAAAATGATAGAAACACTTCCAGTCACTGGAAGTGTTTTATTATTTTTATTATATTTTTTGGGTTTAAAAATCAGGGTACACATTTTTTAAATTCAATAATTGTTATGCACAAGTTAATAATTTGTATGCTATTGCAATATGAGCAAGTTTATTTCAAAATTATTTTTTATGATTTTTTGACATTAGCAAGGGACAATACATCTTTAAGTTATTCACAGATTGAATAAATTGATAGCAATCAATACCGGTAATTAAAAAAACTCAATCTTTGCACTAGCTGGAATTATTCAATTCAATTCACTATGTATGGTAATCTTAGACACGATGAAATTTGATACTTAACAACTCTATGCTTGTTTTTATGAGCAATCACATCTATGGTAACACCGTTTTAATGCGCAATGGAAGTTTATTAAACAACGATTCGTTGTAGCGCCTCGAATTCCCTCTGATGTCAAAGTAACCATTATACAAATGTAACTCCGGGAACACACTGCGTTGTACGACCTTTGGCTGACAATCCATCTTTTCTCTTCATGAGTGCTTGACGACACGACGACGTCTGCGGATCGTCTGTAGCAGTCTGAGCAGATCGTCATTAAAAACGACACGTTGCCTGCGCCTCGTCGTGTTGCGTTCTCTTCGGCAAACAACCATGGGCACAGTGTGTTTCCGACTTAACACTTTCTTCCAGTCGTTAAAAAGAGCCAGACAATTATAGCCTTGATGTAAAACAATTCTTATAATCTTTCTTTACACTTTTTACAATGTTGCTTCGGAGTTGTTTTCATGCCTTTGCTGCAAGTAGGGTCTATATTGTGATTATTACTCACCTTTATACAATTGTCTCCTCCATGCATTAATTTATTTCTGGTTTAGTGTTCTCATTCATTTAAATATTAACATTCTTTCCATTTGCCATACATTGGAGTCGATTGCAATGAATTATTTGACTGATTAATATAGTTTGATTATTTTTGATGTTTTGTACAAACTTTTACTTTAATTGTGTTGGTTTTCTCGACATTAAGATTACATGTATGGTCAGTTTGTGCTTATGTTATTGTTATCTAACAAAAAAAATCTCTGTAATAGGCCTACCCACAGTTAAATCAGTGCTGCGTCGCTGAAGTTGCTGTCAAAATATTGTTAAAAATTTATATAAATGAAAATAAACTTTATACAAATATGAGATAATTTGTAAAGTTAGATGAAAGCCTCTATTCAACTTACTTCGGTCTGGTGACCTACAATATTGCTATTCCAATTGACTCACAAAATAATAATGCATCATTCTATTCCTATTGAAAATGATGATTGTAATGAAAAGATTATTTAACTTTTACTTTAGCAACATGGCACGACGAATTATGGAACGATATTTATCTTCGAGATGTTGTTTGATTCAAAACCACTCTTTGAAAATGATACGACAATGTTTAGAGTATAAAACGTGTTCCACCCGCCGTAGGCCTGTGGTGTCTTTCTTGTGACGCACTTAAACACAAGGTTATTATGTTAAATAGCAAGTTGAATATGTAGCTTCGATTTAGCTAATGAATATGACAATCATTTTTACACGATTTTGACACATTCTGTTCTCAGTGTTAGGGTAGAGACTATCACTCAAAACCATTTAATAGTGGCGGTCTGGAATCTTAGATTTTGTTTTCGTATCGTACTAAATGTAATGGTCTTGTAATAAGTCGAACACTGTGAATGGTTGCTTGTCAATAGAAAACAGTATTAACATATTACCCGCTTTATATTCCTTTCTTGCTATTCTTGACTTTTCTCAACTTACAGCCATAACTGTTGCATTATTGTATTACCAAAAATATATAACAGTATTTATTAAATGTTCCAAATGTCATTATCATCACAAATATTGGTTAAGATAGGCCTACTGTTTACGTTAGTTTGAAATTATGATAATAGCATATCGCATTCTTAAGAAGCTCCGCGGTAGAGCCGTCTATTTACGACGGCTAAATCAATAAACCTATTTGTGATTTAATAAGGCTAGTCTTTAGTTGATATGTTTGCTTATAAAGCAGTGGATTATGGGATAGACAAAAATGATAGTTATGAAGCGTTTAATATTCTGGGAAACACTTTGTATTCAGATGAAGTTCACTTTAACGTCTCCCACCGAATAATACCTTTTTATACATAATGTTCAAAATGACATTATGTACGGTATTGCAAAAACAAAACGACAAGTTCGTAGCAGGCTTGGTTTCATGTGAAGTGTGTCACTTTTAATGGTATCAAAATTGTACATTTAGCCTTTGCCATATTTAGATTATATAGTGGAAATTATTTATCTCTGACACCAAATTATACATTACTTAGATACAAAACGTTTTCATAAGTGACTTGTATTGATATATTTATTGTATTTCTTAAACAAACTTTTTGCACTGTTCCCGATAATCACGTTATGAAACGTAGTGGACAATAAACGCACCATAGTTGAGTAACGCACTGGTAACGCACTGGTAACACACCTGTACTGTCACTCAATTTTAAGTTTCGTGTTAGTCTACTTTATATTGACTCACATGCCTAGGTATTTTCAAATTTGCTTATATCTACACAAACAAGTGACCGTATGCCAAAGGTCTGAATAAAAATATAATAATAGAGATAGGCCTAGTAATTAAATATACGTCAGTACATTGGCCTATTTGAGGTAATGATATAATTATCTTGACGATGAATTATACGATTTAACTAATTGAGTAATTACGGATTTATGTTTATTATGTAACGCACACACATTAAGTATGAAATACA